CTTCATTTCATTTTTGACAGACAAAAGTGCTAAAAACGCTCTCTTAAAATTGTTGTTTTGACTTTGTATGAGTTTTTTACAGCTGGGGGTAATCACGTAGTTAAAAGTTAGAGGTAATCATATAAAAAAGCGACAATCGCCAAGGGAATCTAATTATGTGGGAAAATTTTCTAGTGATTGTTGCGAAATGCGCTCTCTTAAATTTGGCAGTAATAAAGTTGCTCTCACTGAGAACAAATTTGTGTTATTATTGAGTATAAGCTAGGCAAAGTTACCAAAAATCTTTCTTTTTCTCTGCGTTTGTAAAAAAAAAACAGTTGCAAAGGAAAAATACAAACAGTTGTTAGAAATTGAATTATTAATTCAAAAATTTATATAAATTGAAAAAAAGATAGTATGTCCGAAATTATATTTGCGAAGGAAACGAAAAAAAAATTTGATAAAAACAAGTATAATTTACTTTTAAATATCAAGGTAAACTAATATTATTATTATATTTTTTCTTTTTGGATGTCGAATTAAGATGAAAAATAATCTAAATATAATCTAATACAAATTCTACATCTTTTTATATTCATTCCACTTTGTTTTGTTTGTTATTGTTCTTATTAAGTAGTTTGTTTATACAATGCAAATAAACGTCAATTTGGCTCTCAATTTTTACGTTTCTTTCAGTTACAATGGAAAATTCGAAGGGAAGTATTTGAAACCTGGCAGCGATAGTACCTGATAAGCCCCTTAGCGATAATCGATTATCTCCCAAAAAAAGCCCGGCGATAATCATCTGGTGACATGATTACCCACCGAAGCTAAATTTTTCATATATGATTACCCCCTGCATTCATAAATGAAAAAATCTGTAATTTTAAAATAGAATACATTCCAAACAGTACTGTTTACTTAAAGACAACTCAACCAACGCAAAATATTTGAGATATGTCAAAAGTAAGTAAATTAATTAACATTTTTTGGTTTTTTACTCCGATTGCCTGATTAGTAACCTTAATTCGTCAAAACTTATAATCAATGCTGCGTCATCAATCTTTGCATACGACATCAGTGAGCGCATAAAGAGAATCTGCATGTCCCAGATCATACGTTTTGTCTTTACTTTAGAGTTGTTGGGGTCTGGAGGTTCTCAATAGCGATTTTTAGTTAAGCATTCCATGCAGCACCCTTGTTCTGTTTGTATCTTCTTGCTCAGAATGTAAAACCACAGAAAGGTGTGCTAATTTAATAGCTTTGCTTCTATTGCATTGAATGTTGCATTGAAATACTCAACAGAAGTACTATTTTTGTACCCTACACCACTTGTGGTATAGAGTATGTTAAGTGAGTGCGTAACACGCATGTAACACGCAGAAGGGCTTAAGATAGACTCACCTTTTATTGTATCGATCGATTCAGAATCGTACTCTGAATTGATTTAAGCCACAACCTTCCTGTGCTCAAGCTACAGCTTGCAATTTTTAAGATATTTTCATGAAATTTGGCATACTGATGTGTTTTGACCCAAGGACGGACATGGTGCATCCAATTTTTCGCCACTCCCCATATAACGCCCTATTTTGAAATATCATTATATGGGAATGGGAAATGGGGCATTCGAATTTTTAAAATTTCTCGGCGAACGTGGCTAAGTAGTAGTAGTTCGGCATTCTAAATTGGTATGAAAATTTTGGACATACTGGAGCAATTTTAAATACCCTATCATATAAAAAAATTAAAGACAAAAAAGTATAATTTTCAATGCTTTATGATTTATGATTATATCATAATTGTAATTCAACATAAAACAAGTAAGAACATTATAGTCGAACAAGGACGATCACTAAATACCATACAATACATAGTCTAACACAATTCTTACTTTTGTTACCGAGCAATATAAAGGCATAAAGGCGTTCAAACGTTTACGCTTGAGCTTGCAAAATGCGGAAATTCAGGACTCAACTTTTGCAGCGACCGCAGCTTATTTTCATGATGGCGTAGACGTTTCACTAGAGCTCTCCCAGTTGACGCCAATAAGTGCGATAATAAGATCCAGCATATCTTCTACACTTTCAAATTGAATTGTAATGAAATAAGATATAAGGAATAACAATTTTATTACCCTATATAAAAAAATCAAACGATTAAATCGTGCTCGATAGGTCCGCGTATACCTTAACATCACTCGTTAGGGAAGATCGCCTCTCGTTTGCTCGTCCTATTTTCCTTCTCAGTATGGCTGACGATGAGTGCAATAGTGGAGACCTAACAGGCATCAGCGTCAGAGCAGAAATGTAAACTGACTTCCTCTGTCCTAAATAAATGCGGACAACGGCGAGTGCAAAGGTAGAGACCAAACACTGTCGGGATAGAAATGTCCCTAATCTTATAACAATAAGATTCTAAACTAAAAAGCAATTGTAGACGATCGTCTCCACTTTGTGGCTGAGTATCACCTTACCTGTATAAGGCCGGTCATCAGTATTTGTATTCGAATACAAGTGCATGACATTCTAAATAAAATGATCCTTCTTTAGACCGCCAAGACGGGGAAATGCTTATAAATGAGATGAATACACGGTCCTAATATTAAGTATGTATTCATGGAGGTTTCCAATGAGTATTATGTGTTTACGTATTGTGAGGACCCAAAGTTGTCCCCCGTTTTGGACACACGGGTTCTCCGTAAATAAGCTAGAATAAGAATAGAGTAAGCTAGCATAAGAATAGCATAGGCATGGCATAAGAATAGAAAAGACATAGAATAAGAATAGATTAAGAATAGAATAGCCTAATTTAAGCGTAGGCTAAGGATAGGTTAAGAGTAGAGAAATAAAATAGGTTGAAGGGAGTGGCGTTTGAGTCTTAGACGTAGGAAGTCGACGTTCAGCGGTGAGAAAAGAAAGTAAAGGGTAAGTGAAATCTACAAAATAAAGACCCCTGCAACCAATAAATATTCTTGTAATTCCTTCCCTGGGCCGCTGAGCTGCCCCAGCCATAAGGAAAGGGACGAAACGTCCTCACAGTATGTATGGTGTAGAATAAGCACTGGACTTTTACATCAAACTTTTAAAAAGTACCTTAAATCGTATAAAAAATTAACAAAAACTACGCTATTTAGTGGATCTAGACCACTGGAGTTTTCATGAAACTACCGGCGGATATAGCGATAATCAATTAATTAAAACTGATTTGGCAAAATTATGGATAAATTGCGTATGAGTTTGGAGAAAATGAACAGGGTAAGTTTTTATATTTACATATAGTTTGTAAAGTAAATATAAGTTTTATATGTGGTATAACTATAATAATTCGTGATTGTTGTGCGGATATCCGAAGTTCGTGATTGTTGTGCGAATGTCCGCAGCTAGTTGGTCCCCAATCAATTTTTTCTGCAAGTAATCTTCTACGTCTTTCAGTTCTTTTTTCAGCTCTGTCCATATGTCGATGCTGATGGTTCCCCGATGGAAGACGTATGTGAACTTCGTAATTATCGTGGTTAAGTCGCAGATATTTTGCGCTTTTCCATCATTGTCTTCAAATTCTTCGTTGTCGATTGCCGCTTGGAGTGCCGCGAACTGCACATCGCCCATCGTCTGCCTCGAAAGGGCTAATCCCAATGTCTTGCTGTAGGCCGGCATACAGCCTCTCCGTTGCCAGCAAGAAGAACTGCGCGGTCTCATTTCTGACACTATCGACAAGACATTGACGTCAAAATGGTTTTTGTCTTCCCCCATTTTATTTAGCATTGCTTTCACTAAATGGGGATAGTGGTACAAAAGCCGGATGCAATGTGTGCTGCCGTCTGCCCGCTTTCTATTGTATACGTTGTTTTGAAATATTCGGGTATGCGGTATGTTTGCTCGATTTCGATCGCAGACGACCGCCCTCACGTCCAGCCCCATCTCTTCAGCTGCTTTGATGTTTTCTTCCAACACCGGCCCCATTTTCTGCTGACTTGTTGTGCGGGGATAATTGTTCAGCAGTACGTTGAATGGAGTGAGAAGACTACGTGCTGCGAAGACCAACACACTTTGGTGTTCCATTGTCTTCGTTTTCTCACCCTTTTCGAATCCATAAAATTTTTCTTTCGCCAGACGGATATCTTCTTTAGCAGCTTTTTCACGTGATAAAAGTCTCCTCATGGTTTTAGCTGCCTGCTTACATCCCAGCTCTTCAGCAGACCATACACATACGGTAAGAGCGGTATGGGCCAACCCTGCCCCAAGTTTTTTGAAAGCATCTCTGACTGTTAGTAAAGTCCTTATAAACGCATTCTGAATAGTTTTAGTAAATTTTTAGAGACCTGCCGTTCGATTTTCGCATATTTTTGAATATTTGGTGTTAATTTTTACATATATTCGTACAGGTGGTTTATAAAATTAGCAATCTTTTATTTAATTGTATGAAAAAACAGCATTTATCTTCCCTTAAACGCATATTTCTTGGCTTACCCTGTATGGCGCGATGATTGCTTTGATATAATATATGTTCTGTATATGGGTGTACTAAGCATGTAAAATATTTGTATATATATGTATTTGTTTTGCACGGGAAAACAAAAACAGATGGAGCGGCAAAATGAGGTGTGCCCGAGTTTGCACGTCACAAGTTGTTAAAAAAAAAATGCATTTTAAAACACTTTATACTCTTTATAGATAAATGCTTATGTTAATGCGTAAATATATAAAATAACAACAAAAAGACAAAATTCAAAGTTTAAGGTCAAAATAAAAATACTGAATGAAAATTTAGTCGGCTTGATCTGAATTTTAACTTTCGACTTCACGCGATCGAGTTAACTAGTTCTTTTCCATGGCCAGCTGTAATTTGCTATCACAAAACGGCCTAAAGTCATCTTTAATCTCCGCTAACGCTTCTTGACTTTGAAATTTTTTTCTCATCGTAACGTTGACTATATTTAACGTGCCCCCGAAGAATATTTTAGAGCTCAGAGCTTTTCCAAACTTTTTTATGCTCCCACTTTGGTTTCTTACTTGGCCTCGCAATATATCATGTTATGACTTCTAAACATTTATAAAAAACCAACAATTTTACGTTACGATTGCATTTACGGCTGCGTGATTTTGTTTTTATTTACGTTTGTATGGCTTCGTTACTTTTGTATCGTTCTATTTTCACGAATTGAATTTCGTATGATGAAAACCATACATAACACTCAACAAAATGGGTTTCAAGGAACGCCTTCTAAATGAAAGCTAACTAAAAGATACATAATCAGGGCATAGACTTCACAAAACTGCTTTTCCCAACTTTTACAGCACATAAATCAAATTTTATACACTATATTGTATGGTATTTGAACTTTAAATCTAGATCTTTTATTGTAAATATGAAAATTAATGGTGTAACCTCTGCATACTTTTTGTATGCTTATTATAAACGGTTCATATGGATGAAAGATAAATGTTACCAACTCCCGCTGCGACATTCTCAAACCAGAGTCCTCAGTTGCTCTCTGACCATTTTTGAATGAAGTTTCCAAAAATAACCGAAATTTAATATCGTTAGCGATGCGATCTCTAAAGCATATAGGAGTTAATATGTTAACTTTCGGCCTTTCCCATGCAGATATTAAACGATCATCATAATTAAAAAGTGAATAATCCAAGTAGGGACTCGTAGAGAAACTTTGCGAAGTAATGGGTAATGTTGAGTTAAAACGTGAAGCAGCTTCCAACTGACCGCCCGGTATTGACGAAATTGCTCTAAGGAAGAACATCTTTGCTTTAAAAATTCTTTGATCTTCATCAGTAAGGCACTTACAAATCAAAAGCAGCCCGAAAATAAACGTTGTTGTTAGGAGAAGATGACGGTAACTGATTTTGGAGCGATCGAACATTACGAAAATCGTCACAAAAATTGCGCAGAATGTATAGTAATTGGACAGAGTTTTTAGGAAATATTTTTAAAATAGTTTGTTCTGAAATATTGTATATTACGTATAATGGAAACGAGATTTTATTTTTATTTAACGTATCTGCCGAAGATCGCTCTTCTGTCAATAGAGTTGGCCGACTTTCATAGCGCATAAAGATATTGTTATTGTCCAGCAATTGCATTTTGGAAATTAACATCCGTTCAACCTTAGAAAAAGGAAACGTTTTAAATGTAGCCCTTCGACTAGTATTTGCTTCGGAATGCAGACGTTCTGCTATATGAGACTCATGATAATTTAAAAAGTTTACAAACCTTCCAATAACAGGCAAATACTAAATTTGTAATTCCATTTATAACAATTTATAACAGTTGTCGCATTGTCGTAACTAAGTCGTTTTGTAACATTGTTGTGTGTGATAGAAAACTTAAAAATGGCAAGACACAGGTACAATTCAAGCGTGAGAATTCACGCTTTGCAAATATTAACATGTCGATTCCCCCACCCCCCTTCATATATTTAACATTTCATGTGTGTTCGTAACTTACGTGCGAAAAATTGAAGTAAAAATCCTTCAGCTTTTTCAATCTGATCGATTTGTCTTCAGTTTCCATTATATTTCGATACATGTATGATAATATTTTTTGTTTCAGATGTGACAGTGGCAAGGTATCAAAACTCTCAGTGCTGATATGATAAACACAGGAACTTGGTTGTTGGGTACTTAGAATTCTTTCTCGGTCCAGATCACTTCCAAATGGTCCCAAGGTAAAAAGGCGTTTAAATTTCCCGTTCGAATCTATTTGAGTCAAATCTATGCACTGGCGGCAGTTTGATAGGATAGCAAGAGTATGCTCATACACCGAAACACTACGATTATGTGACAACATAAGAGAATCGTCGTTATATATTAATTTGTCGCTAACAATGCCTGACTTCAAATTCACTAAAAAAAATGTGTAATTGAAGTGATCTATATCATCCCATAAGTCGGCATATTCCACTAGTCTTTTAAAAGAATCAAACGAAGAATATGATTCGGAAACAGCCGCCAACAACACAAACGTACCGTCTCTAAAAAATGCACTGAACTCCCTATTTATATGTGATTTAAATGGTCCACTTTGTTTTACAAGCCGTAGACAGTAAACTCTTTTTAACATCCGCTCAAAGATGCACTGTCTTATATGTAAAGAGTAAAGGCTACTATCAGAGGCAGTAACACACTCTCCTTGTTGTGTTAACAGCAAATCCATAACATAACCGACACCTAGAAGAAGAAAAATGCTAATGAATTCAGTGATTTCTACTCAGAAATTCGAATAAAAACCTGAAAATGACCTTGATATTTGAAGACTTCCAAATGACACTGATCATAGGAAAAACCGAGTAGTAGTTGACCATCAGGAGTAAATTTACGCAAATATACTAAAGGCTTATCCACATTTTGGATTGTTAACGATGGCGTTATGGATTTGTAAAATTCTCTTTGATAATTAAGATATTGAGACGCTGAGGGATGACGTTGGCCTCTAGGATGCCAACCAGAAGCGCGATTAATTAAATGATGGTAAAGATTCTGCGATATCATTTTTATTTTTGTTTAACAAATGGTGGCAAAATTTGCATTCTTTCTTCTTTCCCTTCTTCTTCTTGAATATTCAGCGAGTCAATGATAGATGATAGCCCTGGTATAAAAAAAGGCGAAATGTGAACACAAAGTTTTTCAGTCTCAGATGACTGTGAATCGAGGTTGATTTCAGGCCCGCTTTGGGTTAACATCAGAGTCTTCTATTTGCTTGTTGACGTTAGTAATAGCCTTCAAGTCTCGCAAGTGTTGCATCCGGCATTATATATATTTTTATTTATTTTCCAAAAATTAAATCGAAATGTCACATATTAGAAATGGGCTATAACAATATTAGCAAGTTACCTAACGCCATTTAAAATGCGAAAGTTGTGAATAACGAATCTGATGGGAATGAATGAGATTTATTGGTAACTATCACGACCCGCGCACACTAGCATTTTTTTATTGCTGATATACAAACGCTTTTCAGTTGTTTTAGTCAAGGAAATCTTACTAAAATATTCTGCTTTTAATGAAACAATTTTTCCCATAAATCGAATATTTCTATTATCCCTATATCAAGATATTGTCGTTAAACTTAGCAATATTATTTAGCATATGTTTATACGCACTTCTTGGCCGCTGAATCTGCTGAATAATACGATGGTATCAATGTGGACAGGTCTTCGAATTTTGTTACTTTAGAGAGTAAGTAAATGAGCGAACTTCGAATTTTGTTGCTTTAGAGAGCAAGTAAATGAGCGACCACTTGTTAGAATGTACTTTAAACGTACAAATGTTTGGGTGGTTCTGTTGCTTGAGTGTTTTTTTTTTTTATTTCGCCTTAAATCATATGGTTCATATGGTTTTCTTATTTGTTGCTTTTGTTTCAACTTATAAACGTCACTTGTTCAGTTGCTTTCTTCATTTTTTCTTGTGATTAGAGAGTTTGCGGATTACGTTTTTTTTTTTCTCATATAAATTTCAATCTTAGAAAATTCAAACTCGTACAGTAATTTGTTTTGAAATATAAAGAATGTAGGATTTAGTATAATAGAGAAAAATGCCATTTAGCGAATTTATAAGCAGTTTGTCAGATAACCCTTATTTCGGGGCTGGATTTGGTTTATTCGGAATTGGCGCTGGTGCAGCTATATTACGTAAAGGATTGCAAGGAGGTATTATATTATTTCGACGTCATATGATGATTACCTTGGAAGTACCATGCCGTGACAAATCGTACCAGTGGCTTTTGCAATGGATTACCTTGCGAGGAGCGCGCGAAACGCAGCATCTCAGTGTAGAAACATCTTTCGTTCAAAAAGAAACTGGCAAAATTGAAACAAAGTATGAATTTATTCCCAGCGTTGGTAGGCATCTTATGCGTTATAAAGGCGTATGGATTCAAGTGGAGCGTACACGTGAACAACAAACACTTGATCTTCATATGGGTGTACCGTGGGAGTCAGTAACATTGACAGCATTTGGGCGAGATAAACAACTGTACTTTGATATGCTAGAAGAGGCCCGTCAATTGGCTTTAGATGCTACAGACGGTAAAACAATTGTATATACTTCCATGGGACCCGAATGGAGGCCTTTCGGACATCCCCGTCGTCGTAGACCTATTGGGTCAGTAGTTTTAGATAAAGGAGTCAGTGAACGAATAATAACAGATTGCAAGGAGTTTATAAAAAATTCGCAATGGTATGCGGAGAGAGGTATTCCTTATCGAAGGGGTTACTTGCTGTATGGACCACCGGGCTGTGGTAAATCTAGTTTTATAACCTCACTCGCTGGCGAATTGCAATATGGAATTAGCTTGTTGAATCTTTCGGAGAGAGGTTTAACTGACGATCGTCTCAATCATTTGCTCAATGTTGCACCGGAGCAGACAATAATTTTATTGGAAGATGTTGATGCTGCATTCATTTCACGCGAAGAGAATACACACAACAAATCTGCTTATGAAGGACTCAATAGGGTGACTTTTAGCGGTTTGCTTAACTGCTTGGATGGTGTAGCTTCCACAGAAGCTCGCATTGTTTTCATGACTACCAATTATCTGGAGAAACTGGATCCCGCCCTTATTAGGCCGGGTAGGGTAGACGTAAAAGAGTATATCGGATATTGTTCAGCTCATCAACTAACTGAAATGTTCAAACGATTTTATAATCAACAAAACCTCCCGACGCATGTTCTTGAACAATTTGCAGAAAATGTATCAGCTCTTGGTTGCACCGTCAGTCCGGCACAAATCCAGGGATACTTTATGAAGCACAAATCCTCTTCACCAGAAATTGTAGTTGCAAATGTTGATCAAATACGTGAAGATAGAAGATAGGCCAAATATGTCTACGTCATACACTCGATAATTAGATAAAAAAATTTCTCTAGCAAAGTTGTTCTAATAAAAACTTCGAGCAAAATGAAAATATGGCAAAAGCAACTGTAATTGATAGTTTTGATCTTCGGACCAGCCCGGTTATCCACTTTTGTCATAAACATTTTAAAAGAGACTTTTAAGAAAATACATTTCTATAAAATGAGAATAGTTGCAAATAAACGATGTAAAAATATGGCGCATTACTCTACAAATGTCAGTGTGGACTCAAGAATATGACTGGTATATAATTGCGCGAACTTTCCCCATGGCTTGCTACTGATTTTGCATAAGATATTCGAAGTTCTTCGGCTTATTTACACGTAAACTACGCACTTTCTTTTTGCAATTATGTCTTTGGCGTTTAAAATTCAATACTATTCTCATTGTTGGCAGTTTCATTTGAACATAAACACAAAATATGTTTTTTTAATCTACTACTGTTTTTACGAAAGTTTACTTTGTCCTCGTTTTTTATAATTTTTCATGTTGATAAAAATTATTTTTACACATACCAAACATTTTTTAAAAAGTTATATCGAAAAAACGCGACCGTCCACACACCTAAGTCTTTATAGATTAACTTAAATGAAGCGGACCTATTTTTCTTCCACTTCCTACATAATTCCTTATTTTGGAAAGTCATTATATGACCGGCTGTATCTTGGTGCACGTCCATCGCAAGATGATTTCTTCCTTTTAATTCCGTTGGACGGATATTTCCCAAAAACACTGCGAAAGTTGTAAAAGTAAATAAAACTTTTCGATGCTTCATTACTAACATAAATTTCCTGAAAATCAGTTAGGAATGAACATTAATTTAATGGAATATCTAGCAGACAAGATAATTAATAAAAACATCAGAATGAAATGGGATAGGCGTGAACTGCTTCGAAAAGTTTACGGTAAAGAATTTGCTCCAGCCGGGAGAAAAAGAGAAGTTGAACAGAAGAAATGAGTGGTCGAGAAGAATTGATGTTGAAAGCGCGTGTCTACAACTCGCTCAAACGATTTTATTCATATTGTTCCAACTTTGCAAACGTCCACGGTATTGTAAATTAGCAATCTATTGGTACGAACGTAATCTAAAGAATGTTAGCAAAATCAGAACGAAGAAGATACTTCATATATTACGAAATATAATAGTATGTTGAGCAATGTCAGACTTTGCTTTAGTGGTAATTTGTCGTTAAAAAATATTTGCTTTTGATTTCACTTTAACTTTATTAAACACTTGAGGAAAGAAAGCATATGCTCTCAACGATGATCGAGTGTATCAAAGTTGTATTCATATATTTATAAAATTCAAGTTACAAACATAAATTTATAATTAAAACACTAAAAAAAGATTTTACATTTCATAAATATAAATAACTTTTGAATTTTTTTCTAACGCGGATAATGCTCAAGGTCTTATATAACAGAGAGTGCACTTCACCATTTTATACATTACATCTTTTCTCCCTTTTTCGGAATCCAAAAAAATCTGCCTCACTGCTGGATTTAAATCGCATATAAATACCAATGACTGAATGAATGAAAAAATTAACTAATAAGATATAAAGCAACAAAAACTCAGAATTGATTATAAGTAATTTAAAGAAAGTAGATTTATTGGAGCAAGTTTCATTAATAAAGCCCGAAAATAGTATGTGTAACCGAATTTTTATTGTTATTGGGAAAATGTCTCATTCAGTGCGATTTAAAAACTTCCATAACCGGTACGAATCGCAAGACAGGGTATATCCGACGCGAATAAAACTAGTCAGGAGACGTTCAAGGGGATATAAATGCTCCTTTTTTATACATTTATATATATATAAGATTATATATTATATAAAAGCGCTTGTACGAATATATGCGACGTATATCCCATTCGTGAAAGCAATGGAAAAATATCGAACTAACAATTTTTTTATGTCTACTGGCTAGCTTTGAAACTAGAAGGGTAAATGTCATGAATACTCAGAATGTCACATCTACTGAGAATGAATAATTTGCCAGTAAGTTTTTAATGGCTCCTGCGTGGATTTCTTAGTTTTATTCTTTTCCAAAGTTTAAAATAAACTTAGGTTCACCACGTGACGGATCTTTTAATACCCGTTTTTTTGTTTTTTTAAACCAATTGCAATTTGAAAATTATTTGTTAAGTGAGATTATAATGTAATAAGAGCAAAAGTTACGTTAATCGGGATGTAGGCTCTTTCGCTTACGTTTTAGACTGCAAATTATTAGGTCGATGGCTTTAAGGTCCACTTTTTCACTTAAGTATTACTTGGTCAGCATAAACGTATGCACACACTTGGTAATATTTATGCTGTAATACATGTTTTGGTTCTTTTTTATTCACGGGGATTACGTCCGATTATTTTCATCTCTTCAACTTCCAACAACGGCCAACCGACAGATCGACACGGACGTCCAACCAACAACAACATTCGTACGTCGTGGAAACGGAAAACAAGCTTCACTGATGGGCGCATACTAAGTGCTAAGCACACATCATTTAATTTTAACTACTCTTTGTGAAGATTGCGTAAGTTTAAATCCTGCCTTCAACATTTAAATTATTCCCAGGAGTAGAGATTGTTAACTTTCCAAAGTCAAAGAAAATGAATATATTAATTTGAATTTAGCTCAAACAGACGAAAAGTCGCACATGGTATTTTATATCTGCATGGCCAAAAACAAAGAGAATTGGATCACTCTACGAAAGTGATTCAAATCTATAATTTTATGGTCGATCTTTTAAACTGCTTCCTGTCATTCGACTTTATATAAACAGCTGCTATGAAGAGTTTAAAGAAAGTTTTTTTTTTTAAATTTCCCATTTTTCCCATATTTTAGAATCCTTTTTCATATCAACACAGATTTATAGATTTCTAGAATTACCTAGATTAATAAAATTCCCTTTTGTACGATTCGTTCATTAGAACCAACGGAATGCTAGCTTTTAAGGCGTAGAACATGTCAATAAAATAAAGGGTAAGTGTAACACGAAAAAATAATTCCATGTGTTGCAGCATTAAATTGTAGAAAATAGTTTTTGGCATCTTGCTGTTTGCATTTTAGGATGTCAGATCAATTGATATTATATGTGTGGGAAGCACTGTAGGCAAATTATGTGATATTCTTTCAGTATCTAGCAAAAGCGTAGATGCCGGTTCGACTATTTCGCAGTTCACCTCATCGTGAGAATTGTTGCCAGCAGAACTAAACCACACAGAATTTGTAGATATAATTGTGTTTGAAGTGCTATTAGGCCGTTTAGAACTAGATTGCTTTTGAAAGCTACTTTGAGTTTCTTTCGATGAAGTTGCATTGAGTATTGCAGCAGCTAATGGATTAGGTACGTAATTATGTAATATGTAAACGGAAGGGCGTAAGGGTTTAACCGCTTTTGGTTCTGCAGTGACACATTCTTTAAATGAAGTATTGTCATTTTTGTGAATTATATGGCTTTTTTGCGAAGGATGTGCTTTGTTTATCGAAGAATGTGGTATCGGCAGCAATGTGACATTAGGAGCAAATTCACTTTTTATCTGTGCTGGCGACGCGGCGTTTACGTCTAAGTTGTTGTAATCACTCAAGGTGGGCGATGGAGACATCGGTCGCTTGCTGATATTCTCTTCTTCATCAGACGTACACAAGTCTATCGTGTCTACAATTATTTCTGTAGAGGGAGAAGACGATATCTTCCAATGAGAACTACGCGGATTATCCCGAGTTAATTTTATATTAAGTTTGCAATTAGAAGAATTGTGTTTCATTTTCAGTTTGGAATCACCAATTTTTTTCAACCTTACAGATATTGGGCGACATCTCCTCAATAGCGTTGAATTTAATAAACGGAAGTTTTCGCTTCGGCGTTTCTGTGAGAACTGTCGCCGAGGAAATACGTAGAGGTGATTACTGTATTCAGCGGGTTTCTTAAAACTGCAGTGTGGTGTACCCAGAGCAAACTTTTTCTCCAAGTATTTTGGCCGGGAATTCGTTTTCGATAATATTGGTGCATGGCAAAACCTTTCAACGCGTTCCAAGCGTTCGCTAAGATACTGACATGTTACCATACTTTTTGTAGTACGTAAAAGTAGTTGTCCCGCTGGAGATGATAAGGGTATGGTTGAGCAGCGCGACATTGAATGCACTGTACGATTTCGTCGTGATATACGTCTATTTTTTTCAGCAATTATTAATTTGTTGTCTTCTTGACTGCAGTGCGATAATGGCTTTAAGGCCTCATTCTTTTTTGCTGATCCCACGTCAGACTTGTATTTCAAATTAAAGTTCATTAAAAATCCTATGCGAAGTTCGTTATTTTCAGCAACATTATGTTGACCAGATTTAGTGTTATCAATATCGGCAGGTTCTGGCGTGTCACATAATATTACCTCGTCTTCAACGCTACAAGTTTTTTCATGTTCCTTCCAACAGACAAGAAACAAAAGCATCGTTAATTATAAACAATTTGCAATTAATTGTTGTTGTGAAAAATTTCCCCTCGATATACTAAAGTATAAACTAAAGTATAAACATATGCGAAAATAAAAACAAATCATAACCAACGCTATAACTTTCTACAGATGTATACACCAGCGGGATAAATTAATTCTCAATAATCAGATCGCTTGCATGATATTTAGAATGATAAAACTTCTGCAAAACAAGTCGCAAATAAAAAATGAAACCCAGTTTACTATTTCCTTTTTCCTATATCCGCCACCAAAAGGATGGAGATATTCATTCTTCCAAGAAGATTCTAAAGAACCTCGAAAGTATATACATTGTCAATCAGCATTAAATTTTGATGTAGACATGTTCGTCTGACCGTCTGCCCGTAATGTCTTTGGGGAATATTTCCGAGTATTGCGTGTCCGATACGGCAGAAACATTGGACGTTCTTGCACGCAGGACACGCACAACATATAACGTGAACTAAACGCACTTTTGTTTCTAAACGCAAAAAAAAATTGGCTTTTTTGCTCATTATTTATGAAAAACAGATACGACGGTAGTGCATATATGTATGTTTTTCTATATGTATATATTTGAAGTCACACTTGAAGTCGTTGCGATAAATGAAGATTAATTGGCCAAACGGTAAGTACCTTATGAAATCAGTCTTTTAATGTTTTGTTAATAGTGCAATAACTATTTCACATTCGTAGTACACAGCACATATAGGGAATTATGATAAGTATAAAGTTGCAAATTATATTTAAATCAAAATTACCAGTATTGCTTCTGTAGAATATAATTCGGCATCGCAATTATCGCATAGGTATATATCGAAGGGCGCCGGTTCAACCATTATTTGTTGTTGCAGACCACTATTTGTGTGCGGACCATTTTTAGATTTTTGTTGCAGAAGACACTTACGTAGCCTTTGTGGTTGATCATACGACTATAAAAAATGTGAAAATAAGAATTGCCTATCATTTAAAAAATAAATAAAACGAAAAATTAATGAAAAACAAAAATTGCATGGAAACTCTCGCGGTATCCGCACTGATCGCTTCCCAAAAATAAAGGAACCATTTAACAAAGCGAACCCTTCACCTTTTTTCGGTCATATGTACAGTTGAATGTGTTCATCACTGTCTATTTGATAGAAATAGCTAGTTTTAGTTCGATCATAGAAACGATGAGTCGCCTTTTACAAAGTTGATATAATTAAAAAATCGAATTTAACGAATTTTCAAGGGGTTCCGTTTATAAGCCTTGCGACTCGGTATGTTCTTTATCTCTTAGTCGATCAGGATATTAGCCTTTTAAAGAAGTTGAAGATTAGTTATTCAGTATCTAAGCGACCAAGTCTCACAAGATGAAATTAGTAGCTACAATACTTTTTCTTTAAAGCCACCAATCTTGATATGGACGCGATTACATTAATAACATCCACATGAATGTGATTTTTTAGGAGAGATTAATTTTCATTAATATATGAATCGTAATGGTAAAAAAACTCCAATCAGCGTATTTTATCGACACATACATTTACATGACTAGGGAGCTCGAACAATGTTGCGATATATGAATTAGAGAATCCTTACAAGATTTGACATTATAGTCTTCGATTACAAGTCAAGACAACTATATAAAAACCCTTTGTCAACATTTTCGGGTATACATTTTAACGAACATACGTGAAATAAATAACGAAGAAATAACAAATTCGACATATGCAAACCATGTTCTTAAAATTTTTTTTTTAATTCACTAAAAACAAAAATGTCCTTGAAAATCGTCTAGTCTTACAACTTGTTCTCTACAAAATAAAATTAGGGAAAATAAGGAAAGCTGGCGCTGTAGAAACTTGGAAGATCTATATATTAACCTCTGTTGTGTCAGTGGATATAAAAGTAAGCATTTAAAATAAGTCAGCCTAAAAGTAAATGCTGGAATACAGATGTTCACTTACCATATTTTCATTTCTGAATGTAACGAGCAGTTTGTTACTTCTTCTGTCAAAAAGAGATGTGGTGGAATTGTAGTTGTTGATAAATCTTAAACTCGCGTGTTCATACAATGATAAATCGTTACAAAACCTCAGGAGGAAAACACTTTTATGAAATTGGTAGCAAATTAATACGACGTCCTTAAGCTTCGCGATCCAACTCTAAAATCCAATAAGTAAAAAATATTTTGTATATTTATTTATATTTGTTTTGATTTTTACGTACCCCTTTGAATTTTTTTGGTTTTATTAGAGGAATGGAGAATGATAAGTCTTCGGGCCACCATTCTGGTTCACTGCAATCTATTTTACCCTGCAAGTTAATATGGCCCAAAGAACATTGTACCATGAAAGGTATAAAAGTCTCCAGCTGTGACTCCGTTATTTTTTCTAAGGACGTCGGGTAACCGTTGGCGAACAGCAATGGCAGATTTGATATCATATTATTCTGCTGTAATTCTTCGTGTTCATCCATTTCGCTTTTTAATGTCTAAAATTAAAAAATGTTGTCAAAACTCGATATGATAATGAATAAAACTGAAAATAAACACGTTTGACAAAATATCCTACAACTTCTTTTAAGTTCTGCTTGAAGCTGTTTGAAGGTAATAATCACCATAAAATAATTAACCATCTAACCATCTTTTTTAAAAAAAAAGAAAGGCATTGATTGTTAGCGCTTATCCCAAGTAAAAGTAGGACTAAAAGCACTGGAATTTTTTTCTTTGGTCTAACTAAATTGTAATAATAAGTTGCGCTTTTTTTATACCTTAATACATTATCTGCTTTCACGTTAAATATCAAGGACAGAGATATAATGAATGATATTGAAAAATGAATCCGCACATAGCAACTTAAAGCGGAATAAAAGTTCAGTAAATCAAGTCTTTAATTGACCTTTTTACCGTACAGCGCAAAATTTAAGGAATTCCAGCAACTTTTTATCAAATCCATAAGATCCCAAAGAAGCAGACATATTATTGCACTTTGAAAAAGTTCTCGCTGGAAGTACTGTAACCAAACACGAAATTCAATGCATGTCATTTCGTTGAAGTACATACAACTTTATTAATTTTAGTATCAAAAATACCAAACATTATTGTAAACAAATGTTTGCGGAAAAATTTACTTTTGCTTCAATCATAGAATACTGTTTCCGAGTCGTTATGATCAATTGATGCGCTACAAAACTCAACTTTGATGCAAGCTAGACAGACCATTAACATCGATGACAAAGCTAATATCGACGCGACGCAAAAAGTCAAAAATGAATACACGATGATTTTTCCGATCTGACTAAATTTAGCCGCACAAAGCAAAACTGTCCTTACAACATCATCTCTAGGTTGGAACATGCCACCTTCCTGTACCCACTCGATATTGCCGCTTCTGGCAAATAGCCTAGTTGAGCGGCATATAAATTCCCATGAAAATGTCAAAAAATAGGTTGATTCTTGAAAATTCTCAAAGGACGTGTAATTTTAATGACATGATATTGAAATGATGCCAACGGGAAAAGAGGTTTGGCAAGGGATGGATGATACTTTCAGTAGCAGGCTTTTTATTGTCTTTTTTAGATGAAGCCATAATTTTCATGAAAAAACAGCGAGGAGTTATTCAACAAACCAATAAACAGCATCGCCTTTCTGCCCGAAATCGGAAAATCCGCGTTTTGTTAATGTTTTGAAGCTCTGAAACTCAACGCACTCAAGCTTTCACGGTAACACCTGTAAATTCATAATATGCTAAACCAATTAATTAATTCTTTAGTTACATTCATCATGATTCGAGCTTTTGCGCTCTCTTCACCGGAAACGAAACAAATAAACAGACCTGTAAGCAAATAGGGTCCTATCACAAGTCTCCTAGCGCATTCTGTTTGTTTCCAGGATTTCTCTATGCTTTCTTTTCTTTTATAAATAATGAATACCACATTTATAGATTGGAAAAAAAAGACTTAGTAAAAAATGATGCAGAATCGACAAAAAAGAAAATAAATGCTCCCTCCTACTCCCGCACTTGGTTGAAAAACGGGAACCATTTCATAATCTTTACCCTTATTACATAGAAAAAATTTGGAACTAAAGAGGATTAAGGAAAGTTAATGCAATCTTTAGTTATACTAAAAGGGTATTTAGCATTTCCGAATGCTAAGAAATTTTTTTCATCTTAACTATTTTTAATTTTCCTTCCGAGTATTCGAGCTTAACACGCTTAATTAAGATAAATTGACCAGCACAATGCCGTAAATACGTCTGCATTTGGTTCTCTACATAATGTAATAGAAAACGATTCTATTTTATTTTTATTGTCCACAAATTTGTCCGTATATTGGGGCATATGCTGGAAATACAAAGCAAAACTCACATTTTAGTTTAGTCTTATCATTTGCTTTTTATAGTTTTCTAAGGGAGACAAATGACGGCGGTTGTCTTCAATTCTAAAGCGATATCATTTAGAGCGCAATGTGTTTATATCTGTATATATATATTTTGCGAAGCTTAGCTTACCAAAAAGTGTAGATGAATTCAATCGTATTTAACTTTCCATATAAGCAAATCACTAACAAAGAATGCAAAATTATTATTATACGCATTTCATAATCTTCATGATTTTCATTATTTTCACTTGAAATTTTCCAAATTTGTTTTAAAATCTTGTACTGATAAATAGTTTATCAAATGTTATCCTCTTCTTATTTTTTTAGATTATGTTGATTACATATTTTCTGTTTGGGAAAACGTATTTATTAAATGTTCATCATAAAGTGGTCTCAATTTCCATTAAAAAAATTTGTAGCCACACAACGTTGCTACAATCTGTATTAAAAGTCAACCCTCAAACGACAATGACTGTGAATGAATGTCATGAGTTAATGCTAGAGGGCGTGCAAACATAAAGCAAGAAAGTATCTTTTGTTAATCGAAAAAGTAATTTAATGAACATTTTTAATGGGGTGACAACTAGTGTCGGATATATATATGATATTTGAAGCATTTTCTCACTTTTGTGAATCAGCGTTATAATTTGCTGACATTATTTTAACAAGAAAAATGCGATTTCTACATACTACAAGTATTTCATACGCCACGTTACTCGTTTATTTTCATTGTTTTTTTTTAAAGGTGAGAAAAAGTTGAAATTGGGTGGTGAAATTTAAACTGGGAACATATGATCAAGTTAATTAAAAGTCTAATCAATTTCGTTTCATATCATTATTATTGTGATATGAAAACTAAACAGCAAATTCCATTTATATCAAAAAGAGAAAAATTTTGACATATAAGCCACAAATCTATTGGCTTAGTCCATCTCCACTCAACATACCAAAAAAAAAAAAAAAAGAGAAAAGTTTATTTTCTTTTCAATACTTGCAAATTGTTTTGCATTTAAGAAATAATTATATTGTGCAATTAAATAAATATTAGTGCGTTTTCTTAAATGACGTAATAAACGATTCTTTAATTGAAAAATGCAGCCTGAAAATTGAATGACAAATACAGTAGTAACTTCGAGACATTTCGATAATAAATTTAGCAATACCAGATGGGTGTACATTTCCTAAAAGAATAAAGTGTACGTATAAGTTTTTAGCCTGGTGATTCACAGATGGCTTGAATATTCAAATTCCTTATTGAATTCTTTAAATTAATTTATGTACTAAATAGTGAAGTTAACATCAACGATCTTCGAGTTGAAGGGGATGTATGGCCAAAGTATGAATATTATCATTACATAGAAGAAATATTGGGTATCATCAGCTCGAAAATTAGCTTTGCAAAGAGCTGACGGAATTTTGCTTTTAGCAGCTAGACTTAATTGGATTTTACATTTTGGACGTCCACCACTTTTTCGCAATTATCCATTTCGTACAATTTTCTTGTGCACTTGTAAAATGGTTCTGATTTTTCACTAAAAGCTGTTAACTAGTTTTTTCCTTTACTAGGTTTTTAAAAAAAGTACCATGTGTTGAGAATAGAGAGAGATTATTATTATTATTATTATTATTATTTTAATTTTAGACTAATTAATTGAATTCTTAGACTAAAAAAAGAGACATTGAGCACTAGCAACACAGGCTATCGGCTCTAATTTAAAAAAATGGATATTAGATAATAAGCTTAGTAGTATTAATAAAGTAAAATATTGAATTGATATTCTGTTCTGAAGTTGATTGTAGAATGTACAAAGGGTTAATCGTTCCAAATGCAATACTTCTAGCCAAGGAAAAGTTGAGGCAGTCGCAGAGAATATGCTTTATAGTAAGAGTTTGTCCACAACAGCAGATTGGGGGAGAAGACTTCTTTAGGATCCATTGGTGAGTTGCAATTGTATGACCAAGGCGAATTCTCGAAAAACTTGGATCTTGGTTTTCTCAACATTTGTTGGATATAGAGGTGGAGTTAAGTGTTGATGATGGTATTGTAAATTTCCTTCTGCAATTTTCTCTTTAACTTTTCTTCCAATGTATCTTTGAAGATCCAACTTTTCCTTGACATCATCCATAATTAGAGGAGCAGAAGCAGCATACTTTGCCGCTCGATCAGCCTGCTCATTTCCCAGTAAACCGATGTGACTTGGTACCCATAACATTTTAATTTTTCCGTCGGGTGTAGTAAATTATATTCCTTAATTTGTTGATGGTGCTCCATCTCGAAGTCGAAGGGTTCCGGGTAGCTAGTAATACAGACAAACTGTCAGTAACAATGACGGTTTTGAGTTTATTTTTATGGGCAAGGTTGGCAGCGTGAAGGATAGCTCTGGCTTCGGTTATGAAAGTTGAAGTGCTTTTGTGAAATATATGGTTGAGAAGAACCCGTCCTGTAGCATCTACCACCGTACAAGCAGGAGGCAGACCAGGAGATTTTGAGCCGTCTGTGTACAAAAGATTCCAACCAGTATTGTCCAATACTTGGGTATTCTCAGCTATTAGATTCCTGAAGACGTAATTTGGAGTATCTTCTTTCTTGTGCATAGACAGTGAGATGTCAAAAGAGCAGTCTTTCAAAATCCAGGGAGGTTTAACACCAAAAGAGCGGGCAATTTTTAAGGGACTGTTCAATTCCTTTGCGATGCACAAACAATGGTCAATTGCAGATGGTGACTTTGGAATTTTCTTCGCAATAATAATCTTTCTTACGTCATCACCGAGAATGGATTTGTTTGAATTAATAAGCTTAGGGACTATTTTAGCTTTTAACTCATACAGTCTATTTTCTAAGGTTGGGAGACCAGTTTCAATTATAATATTATTTATGGGCGTCGTCCGAAAAGCATAACAACTTGCTCTAACGGCTTGGTGATAGACCGGTTTAAGGATGTTGATATTAGATTTGCAGCTATTGCCATAAATTATCAAAGCATAGTCAATCTTGCTTAACACAAGCATTTTGGTAAGATAAGCAATAGTGTTAATATGCGCATGGCTTCTCCAAGCAACGTACTGTATGAAATTTACCCTTGTTAAAAGGGAGTTTTTTAAACGAAGGCAGTGTGCTTTCCAACGATAATTGTTTGAAAACGTGAGCCCGAGAACATGGAGCGTCTGCACATTTAGTACTGGTAAGCCGTTAATATGCATCAGTAGGTTTCCTGCATCGCACATTTGTTTTCGACAAATGTGCATTTTTTTTGATTTTTGTATAGAGATTATAGCTCCTGACGAGTTTGCCCATGTGGAGATCTCACATGCAATAGATTCGAGGATGTTGATTGCTTTCGTGTTGTCTTTTTCTTTTGTAAAAATGTATACATCGTCCGCGTAGAGACAATGTTCCACTCTTGGTACACGGCAAAGAATTTCGCTAATTTCGTTGAAAGCAATGGAACCCTAGCTCGTTTAAAAGAGGTGTTGGATTGAGGAATAGAAAGATGAGCAGCCGTGCGAATCGATTTAGACATAATAGCAGCATCATGGTTGCAGTTTCCGTTAAATAGCTTTGAGTTCAAAAATGACTCCACCTGTTTGGAGTAATTGATCCAATCCGCTTTATCTAGGAGGAATTTGGCCTGTTTTGCTGGAGTAGCAGAGGACGTTGAAAGTTTAAGATCGATTATGATTGGAAAGTGATCACTATTATGTAGATCATCAGAAATAGACCAGGACACCAAAGGAAGAAGTGATGGAGAGCAACATGTTAAATCAATATGTGAAAAAGTATGATGAGTTGAGAAGTGTGTTGGTTTTCCATCATTTAAAACGCAAAGGTTGCTTTGAAAAAAGGCCTTTTTTAAAACAGTACCGCGAGTGTTGTTCACTGTTGAGCCCCAGATGGTATTCCAGCTGTTGAAATCGCCGCATATAATTAATGGGGGGGAAAGTACGGAGAATAAACTGTAGAGTTCTTGCTGAGAAAACGATTGCGAGGGTGGAATATAGAGCGAAAGCACTGTAAATTTTATATTTAACATTATTTGTATCGCTACGGCTTGTATATTTGAGCTTAAATTTATGCGTTTGTGAGGTATACTTGATTTTATAAAAACACCTACTCCTTGTTTGGAATATGAATTTTGATCAGCATTCGTGAAGTATCCAGTATATGATTTGGGTGGAATAGGATTAAAAGAGCTTCTACAATGGGTTTCTTGAAGCGATAAAAAGGTTGGATTAAAATCATTTATGAGTGTACGGAGTTCATCAAAATTATTAATAAGTCCCTTAATGTTCCATTGTAGAATTTTAAAAACTTTATTTAATTGTAATGACATGTAAGCAGAGTGGAGGGAGGGTTAGGTTGACATGTCAGCGTCTCCGTCGAGAAGGTCACTATAGGAATTTTTCGTGAATGATTTATTCTTACCAGCAGAATAATCTGTATTTAGGTGATTTGGTACATTTGAAGCGCAACGGGTTAGCGCACGTGAATAATTTGAAATTGAAGGTTGATTGAGGGATGAAAGAATGGATTCATTAACACTTGTGATTTGTTGAGTAAAGTTGAGAGCTGGAGATTCTGGAGGATTTGGTATATTAGATTTTAGCAAATGTGTTGTTGTTTTAATTTTTTCAATATTTGCAGTTGCTTTGGTTTTCGAAGGTTGATTAATGGATGAAAGAATGGATTCATTACCACTTGTGATATGTTGAGTAAAGTTGAGAGCTGGAGATTCTGGAGAATTTGGTATATTAGATTTTAGCATATATGTTGTTGTTTGGATTTTTTCAATATTTGCAGTTGCTTTGGTTTTTTCAATATTATCTTTGGCAAGTGATGTAACTGGTTTCGCAATATAATTTTTGGTTAATGGTGGAACAGGTTTTTCATTGGAAGCAGTTGCAGTTAAAGTCTTACTAGGCTCGATTTGCGAGGCAACAGCAGCATAGGTATTACTTTTGCCAATTCCATGGGCTACTGATGGATTTCTTTCCCGGTATGTGCGTCGCGCTTCGCCCATGCTACAGTAATTTTCTGTTTTAATTTTTAATATTTCACGCATCTGTACAAAACGTGGGCATTGTTTGTCTAACGCTGAGTGTTGATCATTGCAATTTATGCAGAAACTACGGGTACAGCTTTCAATATGTGGAGGATGACCACAGTTAGCACAAGATGCAGCATTAGTGCATCTTTTTGCCGTATGACCCACGCGTTGGCAATTTTTACACCTCATAGGATTTGGGATGTATAGTTCTACTTTACATTTATACCACGCCACATCAACTGTTCGCGGTAATCGATAGCGATCAAAAGTTAAAATAATCCTTCCTGTAAGAGAGCGTGTTTTTCCGTCATCATTCAGTTTGGTTAATTTATATGCTTCAGTCACTCCTTGAATGCCCATTTCGCGAACAATTTCATCTTCCGGCACATGCTTTAAGCAAGGGGCATAAATTACGCCTCGAACCGAGTTAAGTTTCTCATGTAGTTTAGCTGAAATAGCACATAGATTAGCTAAAGAATTGGACTTTATTAGTTTTTCGGTTGCGCGCGGGTTCCCAGCGAGCCCCAGTAAATTCCCATCGCGTAGAATCGAGATCGAGTCGATGTATGTTGTAATGCTATCTAGAGCTTTTTTTATAGCAAAAGGGCTAATTTGGGAAATTGTTATTCGAGCATCGGTTGAAGAAATAACAATATATTTTTTATCAATAGGGATTATATCGCTGATCGGCAACACCGGAAAATCTGATATTTTACTTTTTTTTTTTGGGGGGATGTATAACTTAATAGATAAAATCTATTCGGGTTTTTGTCTGGCGGCCCCGGGGCCATTATGCCTTATTGTTGTCTATTTATTATTATTTTTGAAATAACCACTCACTTGAAAAGGTTTGGGAACTGTGCAAGAAGGTTAGGAACTACTAAAGAAAAGTGTCAAATGTTTTCAATTTTTTTTATTTTTTTTATTTTGTTTTTTTGTTTTCTATTTTTTATTATATATAGACGAAACAAAAGCACATACGCGATATCCGCGTTAACCAGTTTTAGCAATAACACTGAAAAGACAGAAGTTAAATACACAAAAACACCGAAAACACCGAAACAATTGAAAAAACGCAGACGAATAGAAAACACACACTACACTGAACACAAGTCGACTCGTCTATGAATATAGAGAGAGAATAGAGTTGCTTTCAATGAATTGTATCGCTTCGATTAAAGTGTGAGAAACCAGGATTACACTCTTGTTAAATGAGAAAGTAAGATCGCATTTCTGTTAAAGTGTGAGAAATCGGGATTAGACTTCCTACAATATAGTTTGAAGATTATCTTTTCACGAGATTTGCAAAAATTATAGTTTAAACAAGAATACAATTTCTCAACCAAACTGTGATCAAGATATTTAAGGTACATTTTCCAGTCCTCTTTATTATGTTTTCTTCTCGAAGGTGAAAAAGGAAAATTTTGGAAGCGAAATGACAGCTAAAGTGCTTTACTATAAAACCGACAACTTTTGGACCTCAATTGTGGCATAAATTTCCGCTTTCCGTTATTCTGAGATGTGCAATTAGTTTACAAATTCCTCAGAACTTGATAGGCACTACAACCGGCTGCGAGAGAGATAATGCGAGATTCACTTCAAAGACGAAGGTAATAATTGATAATAACAATTGCACAAAATTCGATAAAGGCATGGTAGCTCATGGAGTCTTGGTATTGGACAACTTCTGCCCTATTGCTGTTTGTACCATAATAGCGAATTCTTCGCATTTTATCAAACAAATTCTCAAGTTGGTGTGGCTTTTTTCATTTTTATACAGATCTAGTAGTTCATATACGTGGTGAAGAGAGCGCGATATACACACACAAATATTTATTTACACGACATATATATATATATATATATATATGTAAATACATGTGTATAAAGTGTGAGAGATATTGGTTATGTAGAGTGAATGAGCAAGCGAATGAGAAGAGTCTCTAAATGTGCTTGTAGTCTTAATCATAAACACAGTGTTGCTACCAGAAACAACAAAAGCAACATATTGTTATTGTTGCTATTTGTATAATTACAAACGTTTTACGTATGGTGTTGTTGCCACCGGCTGAGGTTGGTTGTATGTTAGTAGCTTTTAGGGGTTTTCAAAACTGCGAAATGCTTTTTTTAAAACCTAAAGTGCATAGATAAATAATAGATAGATAAATAATGCTAATTGTTTAGCAAGGGTTCTTTAAAAAGTTGAAGGATTTTTTGAGATGCCCAGTTTTTTTCTTTAACTTTATATTTCATCTAAGTATATTTTCGGCGATGAGATGTACTTTCGGCGGTGTCATTTACTTTCTGCAGCTTCGTTGTGTTCGTTTACACTTCTTTACTTATGTAAGTTGCATTATTTTAGAACGTATGAAACTGTGAAAACGTTGTATATGCGTTCTAGAGCTCTTGTGTATAGCTCATAATTTATATAATTTTATATGATGTAGTAAATTCCTCATCTCTTTCCTGCCTTCTCTCAATGAATGTTAACGCCAGACGATTTGGAGAGAAAGTGATGAAACAGTAACTGCGCAATTTGTAAAACATATCTAAATCTCATCTTCTCCTATGGTCGCCTGTAGTTTCAAGTCGATCTGTCAACTCATTCCCCACAAAAAAGCAAATTTAACTTTCCTACATCACAAACCATTATCTCAAATTGGAAAAATGTTTAAAATCACTTAAAAGTGATGGAAATTTGTAGTAACATGCATGTATATATGTATATGCCTGCACATCTTGCATATAATATATACATATATACATGGATGTTATTCATGCTATTTTCATTTAAAAATGATTTCGTGTGAAGGACCGCTTCTGGATTTGTGTAAAAACTCAATCCTGGAACATAAATTTTTGCCACTTTTGCATATATGTCTACCCCTATTTCACCATTGGTACGAACAATCTCGGTGAATAAGGTGATTGAGAGTTCGTTGTTCAATGCAGTAAGCCAATGATGATTAGTGATATTAAAACAAATGTTACAGTCAACAATAATAATGAAAAAATAGTACCAAGAGTAACTGATGACCCCAAGAATCCGACAAACAATGGATCGACAACAACTGTGGCTCCTGCTACTAATTCTACGCAGAATTCGACATCAGCAGTAACCGAACCGCCTTTGCCTGATCACCATGCAGTGGAACAGGAACACAACTCGTCCCTCTCCTTGTTTTTCGTTATTATGCTGGGCATTCTACTGATTCACTTTATGTTACAAACTGGTTTTCAATATCTTCCCGAAAGTATTGTTGTAGTATTCCTAGGCGCTTTAATCGGTCTCTTCCTTAAAGTCATGACAGGGGAAAATGCCAGTTGGAAACGAGAAGTATTTTCGCCTACCGGCTTCTTTTTGGTTCTACTACCACCAATTATTTTTGAATCGCAAACTCGGATCGACGGCTTCGGTCGTTTAGATCGTAAATATTTTATACCTTTTTTACGCGCCGTTTCAACAGTCAAGAATTGCATGAGTGCAAATCCCAAATGGCCGATTTAACTAATAAATGGTATGAAGCTATACGTGTCAGTCCTATTGATTCCGATGATTCAGATGAGGAAATGGGTTTATCGTCAAGTACAAGTCAAGCTACAAGTGCTCGCACATAAATATGTTCTTAAAATAAACTGAAATTATTTTTGTACACATACACGTGCTCATGAGAGCTGTGAATAGAGAAAATAAGTGCAATATTTTAAAAAGTCAAGTGGCACTTTCTGCTAATTTAAATGATATTGGATTTGCCGAATTTTCAAGGACGTCTTTTAGGGTTTAATAATCAAGAAAAACAAAAAGTCTAAGTTAAAATTCAAAAGCTTGGAAGTTTTATTTAAAAAAAATACCTCTTTGATATGTGAGTTTTATTTAATTATTTATAACAGTCAGTATTTTGATATTTTGAATGTTTCATAAAAAGTATTTTTATATTTGCACAGCACCTATTACCATTCCTGAAATGAAAACGATTGCTTAATTATCATCACAATGTGTACTAAAACTTTTATATTGGCAGTTCTTCGGCATTTTGACAGTATAGTTAGTAAAAGTGATTATTAAACAAATTTGCAATTTTCGTATAAAAACAAAAACATATTTCACGACAAAATCAATAAAAATCGAAGTGAAAGATATTAAAGAAATAAAGTTTTAAGTTTAATAACAAAACCGAATTCCTTGCTAATAAAAAAAAAAATAAATAAATAAAATTATTTAAAGAATGTAAGTAAAAATATAATGTGCGGGCTCTAATAATAATCATTAAAACAAAAATTAGTGGAGGTTCAATCACCTATCACGAATAATGCTAAGAATATTATTACGTTTCTAGGTGACGGCATGTCAGTGCATATAGATGCTAAGATAGATCTATGTACTTAGATACGTTTAAACCATTGACCGATATTAAAAAATCACCTGATAGCAAACCAGCCTGGGCACAGAATCTAGCGATTCGGAGATAAGTAGCGACATTGGGGATGAACCGTACAATTACTATGGTACATGTGACCTGGTCCGTCGAAAGAATCCCAAAAAGAAACCACGTGTGGATGAGCGGTAAAAAGTTTATAATAAAATATATTTTCTTTATTCATCATAATGTACATGCAGAAACAATGAAAATCCATGATTTATAGAAAAAATTTAAGAAATGTTTCGCATGTTCCGTCAAAATAACTTTAATCTGAGAAAAGCATAAAAAAAATATATTAGATGTTGATATTGGCTTCATGAAAAACTTACATTAAATCTGAAATCCTGTTTAGAATCTTGCAATTTTTCTATTAAAACTGGCAATTTTATGGGAGGCAGTGACCGTTTTGAATTGCTCCCGAAAGATGGCGTACAATGCGCAAAGCCAAAACAATCCTTAAGGAGGGCTTTTTAATTGATAGAGCGTCTATAGATAACCCATTTAAAACTTTAACCGCAACTCAAAGGTTTGGTTCGACTTCTCGCTGACCTCTCCTTCAAACCGCAAACCGATAAGAAGATGACTTAAAGAACACTGCAATTCCTCTAGGAACTGCTGATGAAAAAAAAAAGGGAATACCAAGCCGCAAAATATTGAGAATGTTGAGGTGCCACGCCCATAGCAGCCCCGTTGGGTCCGCGGAATACAATTGGGACATTGATCTGCTCCCCCGACATGTAGAATGTTTTAGCCGCTGAATTTATAACCTTGCATCACATTGTTTAAAGATATAAAAATTCGTAAAGTATTTAGAGATCTCAATTACAACCGTGCAATAATATATTTTATTTTTTTTCAGACGAAGGAAGATGTTGTGGAAAAGTAGGGCGGTGAAGAACATTGAAGAACATTTGCAAGCACCACCTAAATCGCTACTGTTGGCCCAAACCGAAGATTATATAGAGTATTCGCGTAGCGACAAAGAAATGGAAATACCAAAAGCTCGTAGTATGTATGAGGATATTTATCTTAGTAATATCTTAGTAATATCTTGGTAATGTATATACTGGGATTATCTGGGAAAAATGAAAATCTCATATTAATCTCATGTTAATTCTTTCCATATATTCATACAAGTGCTTGAAATATAATATATAATCTTGTTTATATAAATGTATAAAAAATATGCATTCATCTCCCCTTGTACGTCTCCTCAATAGTTTTATACAATTTTTAAAGGCGTGGCATTCGATTTTATCCTATTTTCAAAAATAAAATGATAATTCTTTCAATATATTCATACAAGTGCTTGAAATATAATATATAATCTTTTTTATATAAATGTATAAAAAATATGCATTCATCTCCCCTTGTACGTCTCCTCAATAGTTTTATACAATTTTTATAGGCGTGGCATTCGACTTTACCCTATTTTGAAAAATAAAATGATAATTCTCTCCTTATATTCATACAGGTGTTTTATTTCCTTTATGATGGTTGTTGAATTTTTTTCGCGACAAATTGATTTTTATCACAAAATGTAAGGCGTGTTGCATCATTTAGTTGAAGCCACATATTGTACAAGTCGAAATTATTTAATTTTCGCCACGAAAGATCAGTAATGACGTTTCTGCAGCATTCTGGGTTGTACCCAAAAGTTTTGTTTTATACACGCACAAGTCCTTACAAGCATCAGATGTGTTTTGAAATGTGAGCTTCATTTCACTTGCATGAAACTTGATCATGTATTCGTAATAAGCTACTTCTATTTCTGTACGCTGTACAAGTACACATGTAGCGTATTCCATAAGTAATGGCAAACTCCTAACAATATATTGGAAAAAAATTCGGTCAACATTCAATCAAATTCAGAATCATTTATTGTAAGTAAATGTACTTTGTACACATTTAGATCACTTTCCAACACATCCTTTAATTTCTGTAAAATCATTTGAAGAACATTACTGTTGACCAGTCTGATTAGTAATTAGGCACAACGAATTTTTTCGATAAAATACGATTCCTTCAATTGCATTGTTATTCGTATTCAATATTATGGCAACACAGTTCATTGTCTGGTTTGTACATACCCAATTAAAATAGTTAGCTCAAAAGGCTTGGCATCATCTTCATGCTATTCGTACACTTTGACACTATAAATCATTCTTGGACTATCCATTCCTTTTTCTTTAGGTTTTCATTTATTTTATTCATATGTGGTAGTAAAATTCTTCTGTTTTATCAAGTCTTTCCGGGTGTTTAACCTACTTAGGCAAAGATGTTCCATTTACTGCTATTCTAATATTGTTTTATTAAAGCAAATTTAGTCATTTCATATTTATCGTCGATTTTTAATAACGTAACTCTTATATGTGGTCACGTACCGTCAAAACCATCCGTAGTTATAGAGGTTCAATTATCTATGTGCATATTGACTGTGACCTTTTAATTATAAAAAAAAATTTTAATTATTCTCAATTGTAAACAAATGCAGATTAATTTTGTCAATATTTTCTCAGATGTAGCCAAATTCAGACTCGTTTTTTCAATGCAACAGGCGGTTGTCAACAAATATAGACTAACTTCTAGCTTATTTATTACACAGTTAATCTCTTACAAAAATACCCTGCCAATCCTTGCTAATTACGTGAATAAGAGAAACAATTTTTTTAAGGTATTTTTTAAAATCATTTAACGTCCATTATATTTGTATATTAATATAAATTATGGAATTTTTTGTACACTACTAACTATATTGAATTTTTTTCGCATCATTTCTCTAATAATAAATCAAAACTCAATATTTTCATTGCTTACTTATTACTTACTATAGATTATGATTATATACCTTTAGAAAAAAAAAGTTAATTAATTATTAATGTTATGAGATAAAAAAATCTCTAAAGCTTACATTACTAGGATCTTGCTGAATTATATAAGCAGAGGCCTAATGAATTACTTAACTTAGCGTTAAATTATTTATTTATTTATTTTTTTTTTGGTATGTTGAATGGAGATGGACTAAGCTAATAGATTTGTGGGTTATATGTCCAGCGTTAAATTATATCGAAAATATTTTTATTTACATGTGTATGTAAGTTTGTAAATTTTAAAACTATGAGTGATATTTCTTTTTGTCTCTTTCGTTTTTTTCCTTTTGTTTTGTTTTATTTACAATATAAAAAAAATGTATATAAATGAGTAATATTATGTGTATAATGTGTGATGCGTTTGTCAATTACAATGTAAAATCATCAACTACAATCGTAGACATACAAATTAAGAAATTTTAATGTTACCAAAGCACTTAGCGTCAATAAGAACGAATGATCTAATAAACAGCGTCATCACATAATGTAGAATCGCATATCCTACCACTTTCAGCAATGAACAGGGTCGTGTTATATGCTTCTGTTTTGTCTACGCGCTTAGCTCATTGCTAACATTGCTAACATTAGTACTCCTGCTTGAGTTAAAGTTGGCAAACATGTTGATCCCTTGCAAATATTCGATTTCCTTTCGTTAATTATTACCATTTTACCGTGACTTTTTTCTTGCGTTACATTTAGTTGATTACATCTTTTGTTATTAATTTTCTCCAAATATGTTTTAGATTTATTCAGGGGTTTTTTAAATCGAGGTTTAACATTTAAATAAATTAACCTCTTCTTCATTTTTTCAACTTTTTAGGTTTTGCTTTATCTCTGCACTTGCTAATGGTGTAAAACAGTAGCTGTATTAGATAAATTGTGAATTTATATACATGTCATGTTGAAAGAAATTGCATATCCGAACAATAGCGGAAATCAAAAATTTTGACACCCATAATTTTAGTATTGTGTGGGCATAGTCAAAATTTTCTCGACTTTCACATATTTAAAGGATTCATTTTTAATGCGACATGATCTTAAGATTTAATCTCCTTAACTGTGAGATTTAAACTGAAGTTTTTAGATTTTTTAACAAACAATTTCTATTGAAATTTTTAATTTTCTTAACAAAAAATTTCTTTTGAAGTTTTTAGTTTTTTTAACAAACAATTTCTTTTGAAGTTTTTAGTTTTTTAAGAAACAATTTCTTTTAGTGTTTTTAGTTTTTTTAACAAAAGATTTCTTTTGGTGTTTTTAGGTTTACTACTTTCAACATCTATGTCCACTTTTAAAATGAATTTCAATTTTTGTAAACTTCGATTTGGAAAATTCTTCTCTAATGACCGTTACCTAAGGTACATCTAAACTTAACGAATTCTCTTATCGTCTTTTAAGAATATTAAAACATGTGCTCGCCATTCTGGCGGTATTATATCTTACGATTTAGTTAACGAAGTCTTGATAGACTCTGATGTATTTCCTTGCAAGTTGATTTGTTTTCCTGCCACAAATTATATAGCTTAATAATAAATCCGCCCGCACAAATGCCTACTCTTAGACCCCAAAAACAGTCAGTGTAGCCATCATCCCTGAATGACTAATGAATTCTCTCTAGCGAAGTGAAACGATTAGGGACGGATGAGTGGCCCTATAGGTCGAGGTTGGCTGCTGTAACATTCGCGGCGTATTCCTTTTCAAGACAGGTTAAAAATAAAACTATGAAAGACTTATCATTTCGAAAGTGATATTGACAATAATTTTACGTGTTTATTATGCACAAATTATATTAAGTACGAACGTTAATTCTGGGACAGCGGGAAAATTACTATATAGGCCTAAAATATTTTTGGGGAAGCAGCTATTTAAAATAAATGCTAACGCGCCTTTTGCAATACTTAGAAGGTGGTGCGGAAAATTGCAATACATTGAAATAAAACATTGATATTGAATTGAAATGAGTTTAATGTAAATAAATTAATATAATTTCCAAATTTTATAATCCCTCATCATTTATGAAACAAATTGAAATAAATCGTCAAAAGTCTTACCCAAAAGTCATAAACTGAATTTTTAATCGATATAAATAATAAGAAAGAGAAAGCAGGCAGTCAAGTGATTGCTAAACGTATGCACAAACGCACACGAACATTTTTGCGATAGCATATATTCTATTAGCTTATAGAATGTTTTGAACAAAATTGTACGCGATTCATATTTAGAAAAATGACGACAACTCAATACCATACATATAACTTCTTAAGCAAGTGTATGGACAAACGCGTTACTATTGCAAATATATCCGTGTAACGCATAATCTTAAATATACATGCTGAAAAAAGACAATAACATTATGCGTATAAAATCAAACATATCATTAGCAAGTAGAGTAAAAACATTATGTATATAAGTTCGAACATTACATTAGCAACATTATTGTCACATTTTGCCTTTAAGGTCTTTTGTACAGAGAGGACCGGTTTTTGGCGACTTTCGAGGTGATGTCCCCTAACCAGGGTAATGAAATTAGGTTTTTTTGATAGGTTTTAGCATTTTTCACGACATATCAAAAATCTGTAGTCAAAAAATGGTTATAAAATGATTTTAACATTGCATTCTTTCAGTATTTGTAGCGTACTTTTGCGTGAGATTTACTAGCAATAGCTTAGCATTTTAGCTTTTGCGTTCGTAATTAGCGGCTTAGTATGTTTTGTATGTTGTGACGAGTCTTCTTGGGCAGGGTAAGCTCAGCCACTCCAAGACTCCTTTCAAGAATATTTATTAAATAAAAATTACTTGGACCTTCGGGTGACTCGACTTTCTGTTCCATCAATTATTTTTCGTACACGGGGTTAGAGATTTTTTCCTTCCGATATCGCGGGTTACTATAAAAAAACGGATACGTTGCCAGTGTCATAGTTGCCTTGCCACTCCGGTCCACTCGTCTGTCCCTACCTGGCCCTATTTGGCTTTGTAAAGAAAGAATATTCATCGGTCCTTCAGGGATGGCGATTAAGCTATGGCGATTAAGCTGACCCAATCCATCCCCCCTATCCGTAAAGTCAAAAAAAAATTACTAATAAAAGTCAGCTTGTCAAGTTGTCCGTGTGATGAGACGCTCTTTTATAGTCGAAGTCTCGCTCGCTTGTTCCATTACAAATATGTTCTGTGTATTGAGGTATTATTATACTTATACGTATGCTTAACTTAGGTTGGACGCTGTCGCAACCTTACTTACGACTTGCATGAACGACTTATACATAACTTAGTATTAATACTCTCTTACGTCCCATTGTAATACTATTGTAATATTTGTTCATATGCTTAACCTTCTGCTTGTTCTATTGCCCTGCTCACATGCATTTCGTATTGACCCAGATAACAAAATTATTGTACGACCAGAAAAATTATTGTACGACCAGAAAAATTTATTGTACGACCAGAAAAATTATTGTATGACCAGAAAAATTTATTGTACGACCAGAAAAATTTATTGTATATATATATACATTGATTAACCATCATTTAAACTTTTATAATCACCATTAGAAAAAAAAGTATTTAAAAACTATACTTTTACACATGCATTTGGGTGGTATTGACCAAATATACCAAATCGCGTGATCTGTTGCCCGTTTGTGAGTGCTAGACTCGCTATGCTTAAAATATTTTTCTTCGACACGGTTTTTTTCCTTTTGTTTCTCACTATGTGTACATTACGCGTTTCTCTACCTACGAATACTTTGCATGCGTTTTTACAGTGTTATACATTTTATGTAAAGTTAGTTTATTTTTCTGTTTATGTGTGTTTATACATGTTTATACATATGTGTTTGTATATTTGGCATGTGTGATCCTGCATCTCTAACAATTTGGCATGGCCTATGCCTTTTTATACATTTTAGTACAATTTTAGCTGGTCGAGTTTGATTACACAGTTTATATATTTTCTCCATGATCGTATGTTTTTGTGCATGTGTGTTTATCCCTGTATGCCTGTTTTGCATGGCCCCACGGCGTTATAGATTTTGATATACATTGTTATATGTTTTTCTACAGTATTTGTGCGGGAGGAGGCTGCTCATGTATCCGTTGATGGCTGCGGGTAAACATTTTAGGCGGACGGACCTGTATTTCGTAAGAAAGCAAAACGCTTCCTTACAATGTGCAGGTTTGCTAAGATTATTTAATCGTAATAAATTCTAACTTAGCAAAGACAATTTTACTGAAGACCCGAACCAAAACATGTGAGTTATCTTGGGGGCTAACTTCACTTCAGTAAAAAAAAGAATTTTCTGAGAATATAAAGTGGCATAGGATCGCGACCAACTACTGTTATGGCGGCTACACGTCGTGGTAACCGCTTGCCAACAGAAACTGAGGCATTTGTGTCGATTTTATCGATCCCGTCTCACCCATAATTGACAAAGTATCCGATCTGTAGACTTCTTGCATTAAGTTTTTTGAACTCGTGTTACTGGCAATGCTTGACGTTGTTCTTCAATTTGGTTTTTGGGCGACAATTTCAAGGATGATCTGTTCTGCTTATTCTGGAGATGATTTTCTGTTTCATTATCCTCTGTAACCGTCGAAGAATCTAGTCGATTGTTATTCTTAAGAATGCACTCCAATTTTGTTACTTTTGCGCCTCCATTCTCTTCTATTCCCGCATTTCTTGAATTCTGCTGTTTTCCTTTGACAGGAGACTTACCGATGCTGTTATATGCACCGCAAAATTTTGACAGAGGTTTATTGGTTAACGCGTATTTAGATTCCATGATTATTTAAGAACTACAAGAAAAGCTTATTAAAAATTGTTTAAAAAAAAGCATAAAAAAACCTGCCCATGAATAAAACTAAAAACATAAGATAGTGTCATCAACTTTCCATATTATGCTAAAGAATCGAAAATTGCTAACTTTTAACCATGTTTATATATACTAGTTCTTCGTAGCAACATCCGGTGTTTTATTCCATTTTTATATATTTATTTTAGCCACAAGCCGCATGACATTTTGGACACAAACCACGCAGAGGTGCGATAATAGAACAAAATGGAATGAATGGAATATAAGTTAATCACCTCAAATTTTACAACAACAATTTCATCAAAGTCCGATGACAGAAAATTATATTCGATCCGAATCTTTATGGGCATTTTGATCATAATTCATGCAAGTGCGATTATGACAGGTTTCTGGAGGGTATTAGTGTGGTTTTGACAGGTTTTTGGAAGGTATTAGTGTGTTTTATGACAGGTTCTTGGAATGTATTTTGATCATAATTCATGCAAATGTGTTTATGACAGGTTTGTGGAAGGTATTAATGCGTTTATGGCAGGTTTTTGGAAGGTATTAGTGTGTTTATGACAGATTTGTGGAAGGAATTAGTGTGTTTTGACAAGTTTGTGGAGGGTGTTTGCTTCTTCTTTTCTACTTGTTAAAGATGTCTTGCAACTTTTATTTTCAGACAGAATGCTTTCCTTTTTTTGTAGAAGCTAATTCTTTTATGTGAAATTCAAAGCAAATTCAAATCAAAAGCAAACAGCAAGATATCTAATAACTAAAATAAAACAAATTTTCAAATAAATCTATTAAATAAAATTTTAGTTATCAAAAATACAACAATAATTTATAATTATCAAATATTTAAAGTGTAAAAAATTTATAGTGTATTTTTCACAAAAAATATATATTGCATTAACTAGTAAATGAGTTTATTACCTCGGCTACTGGAAGATCATCGTTGCTTTCTAAAACCGGATTTATACGTCCGTTACGTTCATCTTTGCCCACCATTGTGGCGGCGCCGTATGATTGCGCCAAGAGCCCAGCCATAATGGAAAGCTGTAAAAATAGTTTCAAGTCATTTTATAAAACCTCGCAAGTTTTAAGTAATTCTTTAAATTCATGTCAGAACAACTTGAGAAAACTGGAAAGAAAGCGATTTATTCCAAAAAAGATAAACGGTTTTGTGAAACTTTTTTTTTAAAGCTTCTTAAATCGATCGTGGCCTACTTCTTTTTCCGCAAGTCGTTGTTCTTGACCTGTTTACGTTATTGGGGACGTTCCATGAGCGACTGATCAGAAATCCAGGCAGTTGCATTTTCTTTCTGTTCTTTCTTTCTATACTTCTTAATCTCTCTATATTAAGTAATATTACCCTTAAAATATCATACTCAAGGATGAGGAAGATATACGAATTTAATTATCTTCTATTTTCTTGGAATAATTTAACGCTCTACACTCAACCTGATGAATGGTTTATTAAAAAAATTTGTTACTCTGCGTCCAAGATCACATACGTTGGACAAAGATATGTTCTTTCTAAAGCGCTTGATATTAAAGTGAAAGTGCCTGCCATGGAAGTGTTGGATAAACGGATATTCAGAAGGTGAAACAAATTATTAACGCATCCATTGACATAAACGAACATTCTGCTCGTAAGTCTTTGAAAACAAAAAGCAAAGCAAAAGACTAACCAACTTCAGATTTCATTCAGATCTATGCAATTTCCAGTGAGATGGCTCAGTCTTTAGGCAATTATGCTTTTTACACTGGATTGCTATTGACATCTTCATCTAAGTACTTTACTTCCTCACTTGCTGATTATCAACCTATTATTTGTCTCATATTTTAGAAGGTTGTTATAGAAAAAAAAAAGTTTTAAGCCGAAAAGTTTGTTTTTGTTGTACACTTGCGAGAAATATTCCGAACGAAACTCTTATTCCTATTGTTGATGGTTTATACCTATCACCGTTATACTAAAGTAAACTAAAAATAGAAGGACAACTAAATTGTCATACTTTATAATCTTGGTTGGGCAAGGCAGATTTTTTCTTTTTTTATGTCTATCACCGAATGATGAGTGTTATATCCATTTCTTTTGGTCAATGGTCCCGGGTTCCAATCTCAACGATAGAGTTTTCAATATAAGCGAGCGTATGATCTAAGGTAAAGGGCAGCCTTTAAGTCCACACTTTGTAAATTTATTCACAATATTCACAAATATGTAGACAATAAATAAAGTCCCTTACGTACAATACACACATACTCTCTATCACAATCTATCAAAGTATTTCAAGTCTTGTTCGTTTCCATTAAATTTTCACATTAATATCTTCATTCCTCAATGCTTTCTAGATCGCCTGGAAGAACCTATAAATCTTTTGCTTTGGAAGAACGAAAGTATTCCGGCGTCGCGAACTGAATGGTCATATTTCATCGATTTGCAAATAGAACCTACTGGTATGCTTAATTATATATGCTCATATATATATATATATATATTATTTTATTATATAAACATTGTAAATACTTATAAAACGTTCCCAAAGATTCTATTTTCATTTTATACAAACCAGGATAGCAGGCTTCATGGAAAATACCACGAACTCTTTATAAACAATTAAATGTTCGATTCCCCATTGTTGTTCTTGGATTTGTCCAACTTTAGGGAAATTAGAGCGGTGTTCAAAGCTGTGCGAGGCGACATTGTTCACTTGCCGGAATTTTATGATGTGGCTCTGGAAGATATATGTCCCCAAGAAAATGGGGAATTGAACGTTGAACGTACTGTTGACGCTCTTGACAGACGATTTCTGGATGCCTTGGGATAATGAAAGTGACGATGATATCAAGTGAGTAAAGCAGACTTTGGAGTTGCGTATACAGCTTATATTCGATTTACGTCAATGTAACACAGAATGATCGTTGGCCGCCTGTCTTCGATCATTAATCAGTGAATAAAAATATATTCAAAATAGACTAGATTATTTGGAAACTGATGTCAGTGATAATGAACAAGACATTGTCGTTGATTCAGTTTCAGAAAAGGCCCGTTTAACGGATGTACTTGAGTTACTTTTACGATTATCAACATTTCGCACTGAACTTGAAATATCCCAAAGTCCCGATTTACGTCATATATATCAAGAAATGCGAACAAAATGTAGGCGCTGTTAATATCAAATCCGAATGTAAACCACTCTGCTATGTAGTTATCAAATTCTGTCGAATGTCAGATAGATAGAGGTATTGCAGGCAGTAAAAGAAATGAATACGGCAAATTATCAGGTTGTATTAAATCATTCGTTGCAGGTAAGACAAAATATTTAGATTAGAAACAATTTTATTTCTAAATACACGGAGGTATAGAAGGAACGATCGCTGTAGCATCCAGATATACAGTACGTATCTCTTGAATATCGTGAAATTCTAAATCAATTTCATATTCATTTACTATTAGAATTCCTGATGTCACGAAAATTGTTAAATATATTACAAACAAAATTCGACACTTGATTTCGTTTCTTATAATGATCAAATTCGAGGTTTTAGCAAATTTTTTTCCGTTTAAGATTTTGACACAAAAATAATGTCACGGAAATACAACTTTTATGTATTACTTTTCAGCACAAAATATATTTGGCACGGCACGCACTTAAGTTAGAAGAATACTTAGATGACGATGGCATTATAAATGCGGACTTGCTTTTGTCGTTTCTGAGGAAAACACAATCACTTTGTATTCACGTGATGATGACGAAAGTCTTTTGATATATTAGTTTGGGGAAAAAGAAATCCATTATTTTTATATGAACTTCAGGACTTTATTTAACATGCTTCGGATTGTCCGATTTGGGTCAAATATGCACCGTTTTGTTGTATGATTTGTTGCCATTTAGCAACATAGAAGTCCTGGTCTCTATTTGCAAAAAACTCTAGTAGTCGATTTTCACAATCCTCCCTAGATTCCAATTTTTTATCATTAAAGAAATTTTGCAATGCAAGAAAAAGATGATAATCGCTTGGTGCCAAGTCCGGACTGTATGGCGGATGCATTAAAACTTCCCAACCAAGCTCCCGAAGTTTCTGGAGAGTCACTGTAGATGTGTGTGGCCTAGCGTTGTCCTGGTGGAACACGACACCTCTCCTATTGGCCAATTCTGGCCGTTTCTGGTCAATCGCTATCTTCAAACGGTCCAGTTGTTGACAGTAGAGATCAGAATTTAGCGTTTGGCCATATGGAAGCAACTCATAATAAATAATCCCCTTCCAGTCCCACCAAATGCATAGCTGGAAAATGTTGTGATCGACTGTAAAAATTTTCGTACTGGAATTATAGTGAAAAGTGGGAACATAACGCTAAGAAGCTGTAAGCTTATACGTAATGGGACATCAAGCGTACAAGAGGGATTTTTACGGTCATTTCAATATAAAATTGGAACTTTGCTGGATTGAAAATTTTGCCACTGGCATTGTGCTTCAGAAAGAGCGTCTATTAATTTAAGCAATTCGTCTACCGTCTTGGTTTGGGTATGAGTGAATCTGGTCAATCGAAGCTGCGGCAAATATATTGAACTCGCAAAACCACGGAATATTGTTTTATCACGCCATCATTGATAAAAGCGACCAAATGATGTTAACTCTGCAAGCGATCGAAGATTTAAGAAGGAAATAAAGAATCGAAAAATACATTAGATCCACAAAGTCATATGTAAAAGTGACTTTAGGTTCGTAAAGAAAACCCGTGACCAAATTCCTAAACGTGTAATTTTCTTGAGGTTAATGTGAGCTGTTGAATTCGGATTTGTTTGTTCATTTCTTTAACACAGAAATAAAAAATCGACCCTATATATATTCCGTGACATTGTAAAATTCTTGATTTAAAAGTCGCAAAGTCCGCGAACAAAGTTCAGGGAGAGTGTCTGTTAGTCTGCTTTTGCCACGAGTGTCATAAGAACGGCATGTCGTTATATGACCTGGCATGATTTTTCTGTTCTCTGCAAATTAGCGGCTAGTCGTTAGGTATGTAAAAAAGCAGAGAGAGAAGAAAATGATGCGAGGAATTTTGGATTTTTTAGTGGATTTTTTCTGAGTTTTTTTGAGGACAGTTGAAGTTTCAATGAAGTCAAAGAGTTAAGAAGGGTACAAGATGTGCACAAAAAAAAAAAAGAAATGATAATGTAAACAATCGACAGAAAGAGCTACAAAAAATGAAAAAAAAATATATTAAGTGATTTAAAACGAGAGTAAATGAAAAAAAAGGAAATTAAGTAATTTAAACAAAGAAAAAAGAAATTTAGAAAAAAAGGAGAAATTAAGTAATCTAGGAAGAAAGAATTTAGTCAGGAATTCTGGAAAGGAAAAAAAGTGGTGAAAATGTCCGGCCAAAAAAAAAAAGGAAACGGAATGTTTGAACAATGACTGAATTTTAAAGTTTTGCTTGCGGTACAAAGACGAATGAAGGTCAAAAAAATCGCGGACACATAAATGTATAAACAGCAGAAAAAAGAAAGAGAAGATTGGTTTTGCTTGTGGAGAAGTGTGCACAATAACTAAGTAAATAAATTTTAGTTTTTATTGCAAATAAAATTGCAATAAACAAAGAAAAAGGAAATGTTACTTTGCAAACAAAATATAAAAATGTAAATAGTTAAGAGAATTTTGAAAAGTTTAAGTAAAAGAATGGTTTTAGTCGAGTTAAGTAAGAAGAAAAAAGAGGGAATTTTGTTTTTGATCGATACGGAATAATGTAGAAAATCATGGACAAAAGGTGATTGTTTTGTTCTTTTTTTAAACGATTGTGTAATATTAATAAAGAATCTCTTTTATCTTGCCTATCAAAGGTATTGGAAAAGATTATGGCATCTAGATTATCTTGGTTTCTTGAGTCCAAGAACCTGATAACAAAGCAACAAGTTGGTTTCAAACGGGGTAGAGGGTGCATCGATACTCTGTTACATATTGATTATCTCACAAGTAAAGCAATTTCCGAACGAAATCACGTAACAATTCTCTCAATTGATTTCGAAAAAGCATTTGACAGAGTTGGTTTTCATGTTATTTTAAGACTCTTGAAATCATGGAATGTTGGACCCAAATTCTTCAAATCATTCATGTCGCATCGGCGATTCAAAGTTAGAATCAACAATCATCTTTCTGATTCCTTTCCGCTAATGAATGGCATTCCCCAAGGATCTCCTCTCTCTGTCATGCTTTTCCAGATCGCCTTCAACAAGATTAGCAAAATTCTTTGCCGTGTACCAAGAGTGGAACATTGTCCCTACGCGGACGATGTATACATTTTTACAAAAGAAAAAGACAACACGAAAGCAAATAACATCCTCGAATCTATTGGACGAGAGATCTCCGCATGGGCAAACTCGTCAGGGGCTAAAATTTCCATACAAAAATCTAAAAAAATGCACATTTGTCGAAAGCAAATTTGCGATGCAGGAAATCTACTGATGCATATTAATGGCTTACCAGTACTAAACGTGCAGACGCTGCATATTCTCGGGCTCACTTTTTCCAACAAATATCGTTGGAGAGCACATTGTCTGCGGTTAAAAAACTCTATTTTAACAAGGATGAATTTCATACAGTACGTTGCTTGGAGAAGCCATGCGCATATTAACACTATTGCTTATCTTACCAAAATGCCTGTGTTAAGCAAGATTGACTATGCTTTGATAATTTATGGCAATAGCTGCAAATCTAATATCAACACCCTTAAACCGATCTACCACCAAGCAGTCAGAGCAAGTTGTTATGCTTTTCGGACGACGCCCATAAATAATATTATAATCGAAACTGGTCTCCCAACTTTAGAAAATAGACTTTATGAGTTAAAAGCCAAAATAGTCCCCAATTCAAACAAATCTATTCTCGGTGAGGACGTGAAAAAGATTATTATTGCGAAGAAAATTCCAAAGTCACCATGTGCAATTGACCATTGTTTGTACGTTGCAAAGGAATTGAATATTGCCTTAAAAATTTTCCGCTCGTTTGGTGTTAAACCTTCATGGATTTTGAAAGACTGCATGCAGTCTATGCACAAAAAAGAAGATACTCCAAATTACGTCTTAAGGAATCTGATAGCTGAATAAATCCAAGTATTGGAGCGTACTGGTTGAAATCTTTTATACACAGACGGTTCAAAATCTTTTGGCCTGCCTCCTGCTTGTGCCGTGGTAGATGCTACAGAACAGGTTCTTCTCAATTACATTTTTCATGAAAGTACTTCAACGTTCATCACCGTAGCTAGAGCTATCCTTCACGCTGCGAACCTTGCCCATAAAAGCAAACTCAAAACCGTCATTGTTACTGACAGTTTGTCTTTATTACAAACTATTCGGAACCCTTCGACTTCGAGATGGAGCACCATCAAAAAATTAAGAAATATAATTACTACACCCTACGGAAAAATTAAAATGTTATGGGTACCAAGTCACATCGGTTTATTGGGAAATGAGCAGGCTGATCGAGCGGTAAAGTATGCTGCTTCTGCTCCTCTAATTATGGATGATGTCATGGAAAAGTTGGATCTTCAAAGATGCATTGGGAGAAAAGTTAAAGTGAAAATTGCAGAAGGAAATTTACAATACCATCATCAACATTACTCTTCCATTAACCCTCAATTAATTCCACCTTTATATCCAACAAACGTTGAGAAAACCAAGATCCAAAAATTTTCGAGAATTCGCCTTGGTCAGACTATCGCAACTCACCAATGGATCTTGAAGAAGTCTTCTTCCCCAATCTGCAGTTGTGGACAAACTCTAACTATAAAGCACATTCTCTGCGACTGCCTTAAGTTTTCCTTGGCTAGATGTATTGCATTTGGAGCGACTAACCCTTTAGACATTCTAAAATCACCTTCAGAACCGAATATAAATTCAATATATTACTTTATTAATACTACTAAGCTCATTATCTAATGTACATTTATTTATATTAGAGCCGATAGCCTGTGCTGCTAGTGCTCAATGTCTTTTTCTTAGCTAAGAATTTATTTCATTAGTGTAAAATTATAATAATAGTAATAATAAAGAATCATAAATTCATTATGCATTACAACTACAACTACCCTATTGGTAAAATTATGTACGTTTAATAAGAACAAAAAGAAATGACATTAATAAAGCAAAAAAAAGAAAATGCAGCATTAAGAAAAGTTTTTCTGTAGATCCTAAGATCTAAAAACGGAATGCCCTTTTTATTTTTATATGTGGAAAAACTGTAGAAATATCAACTCCACTGCGAAGGCGGAGCTTGGCGAGGGAGCGTGCGTGAGTGAAGAGTAGGGAGACTGCGGACTGGACAAACGGACTAAGACAAGAGCAACGAATGTCAGACAGGACGAACCACAGTCCGACGTACTAGTGAAGGTTAGTTAAAAGGAAGATATATATATATAATAGTTTGTTTTATATTTCATATTTTGTTTTGTTTTTTCTTCTATTATTGTTATGCGATACGGCGGGTAAAGGATAAAAGAACAATTGCTTTACCGCTATGAGCCAGGCCGTTCATGACAAGAGGGTATAACTTCCAGTCTTTAACAAATAACGATGTGAAAAACCGATCGGCGAGAGAGGTTGGCAATTTTCTTTCTTCCTTTGTTTTTTTTTTGTTCGAAGTATATATAACGTGAAAATAATGATTTCTTCGAGACGTTTTTAATAACCAGAAGGAAGCTTCAAAGGCGCCATAACGCATACATATGTATGTATATATTACTGTATGTATTGAAATTAATATATGGCTTTCAAATTGTTATTGAAATGGTCCATACCGAAGGACAACATGAACTTGGAAAAACTGCGCTTTTGAAAGTAAAAACATGAGGTCTTTTGCTATGACTTATAACCTACAGCAGGAGACCAAAATTTCCACGTAAATTCTATAAGTACAAGCATAAAACATTGCCCACGATCGCATCTGTACGAGACGTTTAAGTAAAAGACGGTTAAAAGTCGAAAGTTCTTCCAAGTCTACAATAATTTAAAAGCCAAACAGAAATAAGTATCTTTCTAGGGAAATTGGGTGAAAAGATTGATTTCAATATAATATTGAATATGACATAATATTAAGTATGGAATTAAATCTCAGAGTTAAGGAGATTAAATCTTAAGACCATGTCGCATTAAAATGAACCCTTTAAACATCCGAGAGTCAATAAAATTCTGATTATATCCACACAATACTAAAATAATGGATGTCAAAATTTTTGATTTCCGCTATCGTTCGGATATGCACTAAAAGAAATTGTTTGTTAAAAAAAATAAAAACTTCAAAAGAAATTGTTTGATAAAAAAAATAAAAACTTCATAAGAAATTGTTTGTTAAAAAAACTTAAAACTTAAAAGAAATGTTTGTTCGTTACTTTATTTTCTTCCATCAGTTAAATACATTTATTTTGTTATATATTTTTTAAATAGGCTTTTTGGAATTCCCAAAAATAGTTTTTGAAACAGCAATAATGCCGAATATTAATTAATATGGCGACGAATGTCTTGTCGAAACATTGTCGGAATCATTATCCAAAATCCAAAAAACTCATTTGGAAATTTTTTTCGGTTCGTTACTGTCGTCCCCAAATTAGCGGATTTTCCGCACAATGATGATTAAATTAAAGAATTTAATAATGCATGTTATTTATAAAATGGTAAATTAATATATTTAGCATGGAGAAAATTTTCTCTATTTTCATTAAATTATATATTATAATATTAAAAATTTGTTTTTTAATTATTTAAAAAGTTAATTATTTATAGTGAATTAAATTTCGTATTAAGTTCATAGAGAATTATTTTTTACCTCATGTATTTTAACATATTATTAAGCGGAAGCATTGTTACCAAGTGCTGAAAGTATGCATTCATCAGAAACGTGCAAAATTTGATTTAAGGAATCCTGATGGATACATGCTTTCCTTAATATGTGAAGGAAATAAAGAAAGTGAAAATGAACCGAAATTTCGGGAAGAAGGAAAAAAAAGCGTTTTTTCGTTTCATTGAAGAGTTATTAAAAATCACGTTATGCAATAAAAATAAAATGATAATCACGTCGAATTATTTAATTTTTTTATTTATTTTTATTTTATAATTTTTAATTTTGTATTCTCGTCTAAAAATCATATCGAATTTCCGATATAAAATTTTTGTTAACGTCATCTTGTTTGGATGCAAAAGTCTCGTAAGAATACAATAAAGAAGTGTTTATATCAGGTTCTCGTGAAATATCGTTCGCGGCAAGTTCTGACATTAGCATTAAGTATTGATCATTTCGTAGGGAAATAAAAAACAAACTCGTATAATGGATGTTCTTCCTATTTGTGTCTTTTCTCTGCGTCCTATCAACGAACAGACGTAATACCGCTCTAATATTGTGAAGAGCATTCTTTCTTGATTATCCGGGTCCGTTTTCAACATCTTATGTGCTTCTGGAAATGGTTGTTATCGAACTACGATTTCGACCACCTATCGTATAACGTCTTATTTTAAATAGTCCTTATATGAATAACTGGAAGGTAGTTTAGGATATTTTACGGTGGACCGTGGTCAACTATTGCCTTTCTACTTGTTTATAATCAAAAAATTTCTTTAATAATTTACCTTGACTTACTTTAATTATTATTTGACATATTCCAAAAAATTTCTCAGCGAACCATTGTTTGTGAACTCGATCTGAAATATTGCATAAAGTATGTTAAAACACAATATCTTCAGGCAAATATATCTTTAACATTTCTTTACGATTTTTAAAGACTGACCATTGCCACACTATGCCTCCAATCATAGTTCGACGATTGTCTATCGCCTTTTACTCATCTAGAGTGAGAACTAGG